AATGGCATTTGCCATTATAATATATATTCATACATTGTTTTTTTTTTTGGATAGGATAGATCCGTAAGATCTCCACAAGAGCTTGATCTAAGCGTGCATACGCCGCCGCATGATATATCCGTTCGTTTTTCTGTGTTGCTTCGACGCGCAAATCAAAGCAGGCGTGCCAATCAAAGTATGTATCATGCGGCGGCCTACGCACGCTTAGATCCAGCTCTTGCGGAGATCTTACGGATCTATCCTATCCAAAACACAATGTATGGGCATATTTCGTGAATTTGGTGAACGTTGCTGGTGTGGCAGGGTTTGCCTTGTTGCGAACGTCTAACAACATGTTTGCCAAGTATGGAGGAAGAACGGAAGCAGCGCCATCTCATCGCACTCCATATAAAGCAATGTAATTGGTTTCGATCACGCAAATGTGCTGCCACCTGGTGTCTCAGAGTTAAGCTGATATATCACACATGCTTCTTGCAAATGCAGAAGAAGAGGAAGGAAAAATGTTTACATTGGGTTGAACTTATAAATGCCAGAGAGCTACAGTGTTCAAAGTGCGATCGCCCTTCGGGAATCAGTCTCTATATTGATCTCACATATCGAGAGGTAGTTCGGCGCAGTACACGAAGCACATTAACTGGCCAACGACTGTCGATTAGCGATATTAGTGAAAGACACGACTGTCTGAAAGTCGTACATATCAATAACTACCAAGAATTTTGGCTATAATTGATTTTTTTTTCCATAAAAATCAATATTGAATTGTGATGCTGTATTGGAAAGTAAGGAATAAGCTATGTTTTAACTATAAAATGACATATTTTACTCATTGGATACCATTTTGCATAAGTTTTGTATGAAATTTCTCATGGGTCCAAAAAGACCCCACCTGTGCGCTTACGTTACTGTTTTAGCCTGTGCGGTTAAGGGTTAATGACGTGAAACTTTGCACAGACTATTTTTTACACAAAAAAATAACATTCTGGAAGTTTGAAGAGATTTAAATCAAAATTAGGGGTACCTCACATACAAAATTTTCTGTGAAAAAAATAACCTGTGCAAAGTTTCACACCATTAAGATAGCATTCAGACATGGCTCCCATACAAAGATTCAAATTTTTTGTGACTTTAGTTATGAAAAGTGTTTCAAAAATAATTTTTATGGCAAAATTAACGTCAAACATATTTTTTATAGTGTTTTGTTAGAAAGTAGAACTTTCAAATGTCGTACTTGGGTTCTCGAGTACTTCTGCTATTAAATTAAAGAATATTTCGATGCCAAGGTTTGAACATATTTTTGGTCTCGAATTGAAAAATCGAACAAATAGTATTTTGAACTTGCTTAATAAAATACGCAACTACCACCGTGCGGAAAAGTTCGTCTTACTCCTGTAAGACTCTTTATTTCAAATTCGTACAATGTTCTCAGAATCTATCGTGAGCAAATCTTTCTCGTGAGCAATTTTTAATGAAGTACGGAAAAACTCTAGGGGGTAGACATGATTCATCTGATTCACTGTGATTCGAAAGATTGTTTTGATGACATTTGAAATATCATTTGTGTGTCATACAAGAAATATTTATTAAACAATTAAAATTATTTGTCTTCAAAAAATGATTCCTTTACTTTTTTTTATTAACTCATCATTTTTATTGATTTCGTGGTTTTTTAGTCAATCCAAATAAAATCAACGATAATATTTAGAATTTGTTGAACGATCATGTTAGTTAAACCATAAATGGTGCTTGTTTGATATTTGGATGATTCATTTGATTCAGTGTGATTCAAATTTTGAATTTCAAAGTTTTATAATTCGTGTCCCCCTTGGTAAAACCATACATTAGCAAGATATTCATAGGAGTGATTTAAAATATTGCTATAACTATTTAAAAAAAATAGCTGCTATTTAATGCATCTCTTCGTTCGGACGCTGTGTATAATGGACATAACAGTGGTCTCATTCTTTGAAACTTATCCTTGTAAGTGAAATTTCTGTTCATCTTATTGTAATGGACATATGAATCGTTGCGGCGAAACAGTAGCTCTTATTTTTCTCCAAATAATACTGCAAAATGAAGTTTTTTTCACACGGTTTATTTGTTGTAATACAACAAATAAACTATTCATAAAAAACTTTATGTTCCAGTATTATTTGGAGAAAAATAAGAGCTACTCTTTCGCCGCAACGATTCATATGTCCATGAGAAAAATCAATGAAACGATCATAAAATATTGCATACTTGCATAAAAAGCTGAATTTTTAATTCAACCGAATCGCTTAATTTAAATCATCTTCTGTTGATGTATATGGTGTATATCTGTATTTACTTTTTGTCAAATTGCTTGTGGGAAGTTTTAATTACTTCGTCTTTATTTGCATTGTGTACCCTTGCACCCACAAACTGTTAAACTGCCAAAGCGTATAATAAACACTGTATGCATGAATGATTTCAATGCAATAACATTTGCGCATTACATAAGCAATTAGTGACACTTAATATTTGACTCCTTAATTGCATGGCATGAGATCTTGTTTTCTTTTTCTACTGCAGCTTCTTCTCCTTCTTTTTTCTTGCATTCAGGTAATCTAATGAAACCAAACAAATGAAATTAATATTTGCTATGTTACACTTTGTTCAGATTGTTTTTATCCAAGAAGCGTGATGGCATTTGCTGTAAGAGAAAAAATCATATTTTATCTTTAAAGCCAATTAATTCGCTTGATATTAAATGAGAAGATCAGTGTGATTACGCTATTACAGAAAGTCACATGACTTTAGAAAAATGATGTAAAATTAACTGCAGCCATAAAGTTAAAACAAATTTCATCACATTTCATGTTGCATTTATCAGCTGACTCATAACCTTTTTTTTAATCAGATTTATGGGTCATCTCGGTTTTAAATGAGATTTCAATGCATTCTCTTTATAATACGTTGAATATTCAAATTAGATGAAGAAAATATCTTCATAAAATGGTTTCTTTAAAAAAACATCTAGTTTTGGTGGACTTTTTTTATATGTATGAACAAAGGCCCGTTGCTTTTTTGTTTCTCTTTGAGAAGATCTTTGGAAAAAAGTACTTCTTTTTCCTTCGTCGTTAATTTTTTCATAGATCGAGCTGCTGGTTTGTTGGAGTGTGATAAGTATGGTGATGGTAACCGGCAAGGTTGGTCAAACATTATTTCGTAAACGACATTAATTGGTTTCACCATGTTGAAACACTGACAAATAAATCGTTGCTGCATGTCTTTTGATGATCGGTTAAAGTTCTTGTGCTCGAAACACCATCGTCAAATATGTTCCCATCGATGCTGACAAGAAGATCTGTGTTGTAATCGAACAAATTATAAATCATCATTCCTACTTGAAAGATTGGCTTTCGCTGTACAAGTGACTTTTGTTAAAGAAGAAAACCAATAAAGAGAAGACCTAGTTGATGCTGTTAAATATTTTCTTCAAAACGAATAAAATGTGATCTTTGAAAAAGGGAGCAATCGCATAAAATCAACGACCATAAACATTTAATTAGCTTTACAACTTTTGCTTTTCGTCTGCCTTTTACTTTTCCGCACACACCTAGTGTGTAAGGGGAAAGTATTGCAATGGGTCAAAATTTACGACACCTCAAAAACATGTTTTCTGGACGTTTCTGAGGTCAGAGAACCTTAATCAAGCCGTTTTGAGCATGGTTTTGTGAGTCTGTTCCACGTGGTACGTCGTACGTTGTCCGCCGTGCGCAAAATTTGTTAACACGATAACTCTCCCCCCAGAAAAGTTATTTAAAATCTGACTGTACAGGATGGTTGGGAGTCGCGAGTATTTTGTTGAGAGAAAGAGATTTTTACGTTTTAATGGTGATTAAGTTAAGTTACAAAACAAAATAAAAAGGAACTTACATCCATAAGTCTAACTTTGCTCATGCAACTTAACGTTGCTTGATATTTTCCATTTTGATTGATCGCACTTTTGCCCCAACCGCCTGAAGTGCAAATCGTACCTTCATTGGTGCGAATGCTTGGGGGTGGTAAACAAATAGTATTCACAGCAGTATTCACAGCATTGGCCATTTTCAATGATTCATCCACCACGATCAATGCAATGTCATTGATCAGCATATCGGCGAGGTAATCATTTTGAATGATAATATTCGTTACGTTTCGTTCTTGACGTGTTGTATTCAAATCGGTGTCATGTTCACCGGCACGAATCACCAATTGTTCAGGTGTAAATTTAAGCAGCAAATGAGCCACCGTTAAAATCACAGACTCATGAATCAATGAACCACCACCAAGATATTGCAGTTCACGATGGCAATCGAGAAAATATTGCAACCATCCATGGGAATTCATTCGGTCGCATTTCATCACCGGTGATTGTTCGAAAGGATTGGAATTTGCTATAACCACATTTTTGGGTGGTCACAAATTTATTCTTGCCTTCGGTTGAATCATATTCGCTTTGATTGTTTTGCTTGTTGGCTGGTGCTGGTTGATGCAAATTTTTCAACGCTTCATCCGCACAACATGGCACTTCCTTGATGTTATCACACTTCATGAATTCACTTGAAATTCTGGATGATAGTCGCCAATCAAGAGTAAGGTTGCTTACCACTTTATCATTGAGACACAATGAATAGGAAATGCAAATAACATTATCACAATTTATTATGTTGTTCGCTCCATTTGAATCATAGTAGGAAATATAGAAGTTTTGCGATAATTTTTTCCGTTACTATTATCAACACTGGTCTCATTTGAGTCATCCGACAGATGGACCACTTGCTTGGTGTTTGCTGGATATGCTTGCACAAAGCAAAAATATACGGAGAAAAGTAGAAATTTGCACAGGAACATTTTTTACACCTTGACAAAATCAATTTCTTTACTTTTCAATGTTTTTTTGCTGTTTCTTTTATTTTTTAATTTCGATTTTTTCAGTTCAATAATTTTTGATATTTTAGTGAATCAATTTTTTGGACGAAGTTCCTCACTTTAAAAATGTTCTTCGATGTGCTCTCTTTGAACCAGTGATTCGTTAATTGCTATTGACACTAAGACTTACTTAGAGTAATGTGCTCGCCAGCATTTGCTGGCTAGCAGTGCTAGTGCGATACGCTCGATGCATGGAAGACGCGTGTCTATGTGAAAGAAGCATTCTATATGAAGCGCTATGTACGCTCGTATTTCGATTTATTTTATCCGCTGTACTTCTGTTATGTTCATGATTTTTTTAAAATGATTTTACTTCCAATTCCAAGATTTATTTTTATTGCTGTTTTTTTCAATCAAAAATATAGGTTCCCCCATACAAATGCTAATTTGCATTAAAATTTCTTCAAACTTTCATAATGTCATTTTTTGGTGGAAAAAACAACTTGTGCAAAGTTTCACGTCATTAAGCTACCACAAAGGCATGGCTCCCATACAAAAATATTTTTTTTGTGAATTTTTGTATGAAAAGTCTGTAAAAAATTGATTGCATCTTAAAACTAACATCAGATTCAGATTTCTCATGCCAAAAAACCCCCCACTACACATTCTTTCAGCGTTCAAATTGAAAGAATATCATTTTAAGGCATTTTTCTCATAAGTGCCTCTTCAGAGTCCAGATTTTACACCGATCAACCAATGTTGCTGAAAATTTGACCAAGTCTATTCCTCGCAGTCCCCAATCATCTAGTAAAATCAGATTTTGAATATTTTCTATGTGTGATGATCTATCATGCATAATATGGATATTTTGGCTACACGCCACAGTACACAGGACACATAACACACAGCGACGCACATTAGTATGATCCAAAATCGCCTCTAATCGTGTTTTCTACATAAAATATGCATAGAAAACATGTTTTGGGGTGACTTTAATTTTTTGGCCTAATACAAAACCTTTCCTTCACTAGGTGTGCGGAAAATTAAAAATAACATTCTGAAAGTTTGAAGAAATTTCAATCAAAATTAGGGGTACCTCCCATACAACATTTTCGTTGAAATCTCTCCAAACTCTCCGAATGTTATTTCTTGTGAAAAAAATAACCTGTGGAAAGTTTCACGTCCTTACGATACCATACAGGCATGATTCCCATACAAAAATCCAAAAAATTTGTGACTTTTGTATAAAAAGTGTTTCGAAAATATTTTTTATGGCAAAATTAACGTCAGACATATTTTTATAGCGCTTTGTTAGAAAATAGAATACTTTCAAATGTCATACAAATGAGTTCATCATGATAGTGTGAAAAATCTTTTGCGAGTACTTCTGCTATTAAATTAAAGAATATTTCGATGCCGAATATATAGCTTAATAAAATACGCATCTAGATACGCATCTACCACCGTGCGGAAAAGTTCGTCTTACTCCTGTAAGACTCTTTATTTTTTATTACTCTACTGTAGTTGTGATAAAACCGTTTGATAAATATGCACCCAAACGATTATGCACAACAAAAAAAGTAACACAATGTTATGATGAAATAGGTTAAAATATCGGTTTTTTGAAGTTCAAAAATGCTCGATAAAATCGTCCAAAAATAGCCAACATTTAAGAAATTGACAAACAAAAAGCAGCACACTACAAACGAGTTTGCAATAATATTCATGGCATCGTGCATATTATTTTTTTTTCTTTTCTTTTCTTCATTCGTCGCATAAGATGTGCCAACATCACACATACGATTCACCTCTCTCGGATCGTTGATTTTGAGTGTTTGTGCGCAAAAGCGAGCTTTGTATATTCGTTTTCATTTTCAATAAACAAGGGAGTATATTTTTTCTCTGTTTAATTTGCATTTTCTATAAATAACAAGATCCGCATGCAGACAACGCGCCAAACAACTTCAACACCAAATGAATATACATAATATGTGAATGGATGAATCTGAATGTATGAGATATTGATATGCACGCAGTTACATTCGTCGAAGCAATAGCGGCGATAACAACAACAATAACGATGGTGTTAGCGGCAGCAGCAATGGCAAACATTAAACATATGTAGGCTTCATTCGGTGTTCACAAAGAGTTGCGAAGCGACGAACCGTCTTTTTTTTCCATTTGGTTCCGTATATGGTTTACTATGCTTGTTTGTTTTGAGCATATTCGGTCGTTCGATGCGCCTTTTGATAGTTGTGTGTCAGTGATGCGGTACCGAAATCGGTTATTTGTTGAACCGAATATATGCTCGTATTATGTTCTCTAGCCGCTACATGTTATGTATGTGTGAGCGCTCCGCTCGGCCAGCCGCTTGGCATCATTGCCGCTGCCTACTGATTATGATGGGGGATTACCGCGTATGTGTAATTCCTTTCACAATAACAACAACACAAATAAACATGCAAGACGTGTGCTGTTTCGCATGAGACATAAACGTTTGATCGGTCGAAAAAAAACTTTCTCTCTTTTTTCGCCATGGCGAAAAGAAAGAAAAGGCAGTAAATAAAGATTGTTGCGGCGACAGCAGTTAGCATAGTATACGCTAGCATGCGTAAGTGTGCTGCCCCAGTCTATAGATTGCGTGCATTAGCTGAACAGCACGTCAGTCAGTTGAAACACTTTAAGCAAAGTGGTTTCGTTTTCTTCCGATTTGTGTAAAATTTGGCTCGTGTTGTAAATAAACGTGCGCAAAACAAGTTAGGAGACTTTTTTTTAACGAGCTGGTTCAGAGTGTATCCGAGTGCGATCACAAGTGGAATTCGGTTAGTTGCAGCAAAATTTTTCATCAAATCAATTTGTGTTTGGTTTTTCTATCGATTTTTCTATAAGTGTTTGTTTCATCATTCAATGTGTATTAATTTCAATGGAATTGATTATGCAGTTTTCAATCCTACAGTTTGTTTTTACATTTATACATAATGTCGGCGTCAGTGTTTTCTTGTCATTTGTTCGTCAATATAAAATGCGAAAATTTGTTTTTGATTAAATAAAAATTTGGGTATTTTGTGATTTAGGCCTTTCTAAAAAAAAATCATACACAATTTTTAATGATCGTGATTTAAATGAAATATCACTTTTTACGGTTCGTCAGTAAGTTTCTCTTAAATGTCATCGCACGGTTCGCATCATTAATTGAATCTATTGATTAAATTAGCCAAAGCGCTTTTCTTCAGCTGTTGAATGATCTAATGAGACAGTGTGACAGGCCTCGTGCGTGCACACACCCTTTGCCGATTATCATTCATTTCACAAGATTATCTCATTGAAAAAGTGAATTTAGTAAAAGTGAAACCAAATCGCTCCGTACAAATGGAGAGTAGTAGTTGAAGAGAAATAAAAAAAATATCGTTAATATAATTACAAACGCTCGCATATGAACTCTCTTCATGGCTCATTATGCTTTGTATTTGTCTTGCATCTTCTTTATGATTGTATCGTTTTTCTGTGCGTGATTTTACAGTCACACTTTCCGTTTCTTCTTTATTTATTTTTTTCATCGAATTACTAATATTTGCATTTTTGTGACTCAATTTCGTTGACTTTCGTCACTTGTTTGGAAGATTAATTGTTGTATATGGCTTTTTTTCGAAAATAACTTTTGAAAATAATAACCTCTCCGAGAATAGAATCCCACTTGCAAATATTTTCGTTCGAATTATAATTGACTCGTCAAAAGCACGAAGTAAATTCAGCCGCTTGCAACATTCGTTGTATTTCCGATGCGTGCAGTGTTTGAATGATTGCTACAGCAACAAATGAACACAAAACGCTTCCAATTGTACTTAATTATCAAAAAAAAATTATCCGTAAAATGCATTTGGAATTAAAACAAAGGTTAAGATGCAAGGTAGTTGTCGATTCCGATGTTTCGCCGCGTACTTTGCATAATACTCGCCGCGTACACAATGTAAAAAAAATATCATAGAGCAATGTAGCGATTGAAGCAGAAAATAAAATCGTACGAAATGAAATGGAACGTTGAGTGAAACTCGCACACCAATTGAGTGCGGACAAAATAAAAACGAGCACAATATACCGATGAACATTAATAATGAACAGCAAACGCAAAAAAAACGCTAAAAAGAGACAAAAAGAAATCAAATTGTGAAGGCGTTCGCTAGTAGTTCATTGTGTTTATAGGTGCTGCTTTTACTTATTCGCTTCATCCATAAGACATTCGCACTTTAATTAATGTTTGTTTTTAGTAAATTCGTATGCGGAACCAGGTAGCGCGAATTAACGTCCGATAATATTTTTTTTTTCGAAGAATGAACGAAACAACTATAAAAACAAATCCATTTTTTGTGCTTGTTTTTTGGTTAGGAAAAAAGTGAAATGGTGTCTCCAGTGTGGTGTACTAGCTTATAAAGAAAATTGGCTTAAAAATTAATCACCCATTCATTATAATATTTGGTTTTGTCTATGATGATCAGATTTTGGAAACATTTTGTCCAAAACCAATCATTTATTCGTCAAATAAAACTTGGCCCATTACCATAATGTGGTTTAATTTTCTATTTTTCTTCTCTTTTTAGGAATCTCGGATGTGGTGGAAGCGCTTATGTGGACATCGACATCATTTCTGCATGGATTTTATGTTAAGCACACTTTATATGGATATTCTTTAAATGAATAAAGTGAGAGTGTAAATGTTTTCTAACAAATTGCGTGCGGGTGAAATCAAAGGAATTTCCTTAAGAAGAACTTGAAAGAAAAGAAATAAAGACTTACTCTCCATGAGTGTTTATAAGTGTTGAACAAATTTTTGTGTTCACAAAACAACCATTTCAAATTCGTAAAATTTTGTGTGCAGAAAAACAGAAACAATTTATAAATAAACAGAAAACAAAAATGGCACTAAAACTGATATCGTTTGTAATTTGGTGAGTGTTCCCTTTTACTATGAAATTTCTGTTTTTTGTTTGCTTCTGCAGATAGAGATAGTACTTGTTATTTTGTGTGCGCTCAACAAAACTTAATTCCCATTTATGTAATTTTTTTAATATTGAAAATGCACTTGGAAAGGTATCATCGAGAGATCGAAAATGTGAATGGATTGTTTTTAATTAAACGCGTGTAACCATCGTATTTCATACTGCATGTGCTGCTTCATGACGCATTTTCCACCATTTACAACAACAATAATATAGAAAAAAAATATCGCAAACGCGCGAATACCGTTCGAAATATTCGAGAATCAGAAAAGTAAAAGGATTTTTTTTTGTGTGTGTCTTGGTCGTTATCGATTGTTGTAACCGACATCATAATTTGTTGAAATGTTACCTCTGTTCGTTTTAACCGCTCTATTCCGATCGATGCTACACTGCTATTGCGGAATGTGATTGTCATATTCCGACTTCAACACACTCGAACACAACAGCCATATTTTAGTGATCAAGTTTTCAGCATAATTTGAATATTAACATCAAAACGATAACAACAAACCAATCGTTCGACCAAATTAGGGCCAAATCGATAAATAAACATGAAAATTGTTTCTTTTATCTGTAAAATATCAAAATCGTCGTTTGATGGGCGTGATCGACTTTTGATTTTATATGAACTTAATTTAACGAAGATTTATTCCGATTACAATAATAAAAGCCAACGTCAAGACATCATTTTGAAGTGAAACATGTTTTTGAATCCATACCTGTGCATGCACGTGGTTGTAAATGTTTAATTTTTTGATTTCATTTAGAAGTCTTTTAGAACATACTCGATTTCAGTATTAATTACCACATTTTTTTTCTACTCCCACATTCATTAATTGGCTTTGCTTTCATCTTACTTGCGTCATATAAAATAGGATGTCAATAAAACAACATTTACGATTTCATAAAAAAAAAAGAAAACAAAAATCGAGAAATATTCATACATGATCTCCTCTTCTTCAAACTAATTTACATAATCGCTTGGTTTTGGTTTAAACAAAATGATTCGATTTTTCATATTACTAAATTGTTTGGACTTTAAGCAAACGAATATACAAACAACTCGACAACAACTGTTCTATCATAGTAACAACCAATTCTCATGAAATGGCATTAATAAAACTCATTTTTAATTTGCGAGAGAGAAGAAAAAAAATACACAACGAATTGGCGGCACCATTAGTTAATCGAAATTGTCGAACGAATAAAAAGATGTGGTAAATCGAAGTTTCGCGTGCGCTTTTGAATAAATTTGTATTTCTATGCCATGGATAAAAATGTTGATATCGACACAAACCCTCGAAGCATTCCAAAATCAATATCTACATAGACATTTTGTTTCTATCCACTTCTGATGAACTCAACGAACTTTTGCACTTTGCACAAAATGCCATTCAAATAATTGTGTGCAATCGTAGAGTATTTAGCTCGTCATTGGATAAAGATTTATTTAGTTTTTTTTTATTTGCATTCATTAAAAATAACGAGGCGAATCGGATACGAATGCGGTGGTGTGTCTTATACTCTCTTATCCGACCAAAGTATATTTTCAAAATTGAAAGTGAGAGTTAAATGCAAATGTAGAACGTAAATTATTTAAAACGATGACGCCCGTAGCAAGTTTGATTGTTGAGACGGTTTTGAAATGATTGTGCATTTTTTGAGTAGATTTTGAAGAGAACATATTACTTATTAAATGTTTACTCTCAAATATTTTCGAGTCTCTGTAAACAGAGAAAATTCGAAAACAAGATTGAAATACCGCATGAACAAGAAGTATCACTTAAGCTCCACATAATTGACATGGGTATTCGGTATATACTGCATCATCTTCGTAGATGACGCTGTCTTATCACCGTGTTTCTCGTACAAATGCCTCACCACATGCCAAAAAAAAGCACACAGACACACATGAAGACAGCAGTAAACGATTTCGAGAAAGTGGCACAAATTATATTTATTGATATGTAGTGATTTTTTTCTGTTGTTGATTCACACGTTTTATACTGTACTTGTTATGATTATTCGAGTGAGTGTACGCGAACTCGTCTCGCCATCATCATCAACAACAACACATAAGCTACGAATATTACCGTTTTTAGTTCGAACATCTTTTTTTCTCTCGATCTCAAAATGAAGAAGGTACTAACTAAATCTCCGTCATGAAATTCAAATCGACGTTGTTTTGTTCCTTAAAGTATCTAATTGTTAGACGCGCCGTGCGTTCTCTTTTGTATAAATAACTATTTATCATTGCAAATCTGTTCATTTGTATGATAAATAAATGAAATAAAAGAAAAACGCTGTAAACAAGACAAAGTTCGTGATTTAGCATGATTTGACTGGGGGGAATCGTGAGCGTTGATTTGATTTGAGCGCGTTTGCTGAAAGGAGAGTTTTGCAAATTACATCTTCTTCCGATTGCTCATTTATTTGCAACGGAATGTTCAGTTGATTGTTATTTCCACGAAAAACGTTCCTCATTTTTATTTATTTATTTTTTTATATTATTGAATTGATAAATCCAAGAATGTAAACTATTTGTGCAAATTGTTTATTTATTTAATTTTTTGTTTTTGTTCGAAGTTCCAAAACAACTTGACTTGGTGGGGAATTATTTCTGAGCCAAGAAGAAAAGCCGTAAATTTTGTGTTGTCTCGTAGACAAGGCATTTTGATTGCATACAAATAATTATTATGATTTTCACCAAATTAATGCAATTTGTTTAGTATTTCCTTATTTGGACTCGTTCGCGTTGATTTCACGTTTCTAGTGTGTTTTTTTTCTCGTTCAGTCAATTTATCAATAAAGCGCATGGGTCAAAAGTTTTTGCAATTCAGAGACAGGTTTCGATGATCTTTCACATGCAATATCTATATAAATATATTGACGAAAGAAATCTCTGCATCAAAAAAAAAAAAAATAAAAACGAAAGAAAAAACACCGAAAGAAGAAAAATCGCTTACAAAACATGTATGTAAATGCGTCGCATATTTTTATATCGTAACGTTAACGTTTCACAAGGTCGTTTCACCTTTATATGTGGTTGATGTGAAAACTAAAGTGTTGCTCTCCGTTGAAAGAAAATGAGAAGAGAAAAACAACATCGCTTCGTTATTGCCATTATATTTGGAACATAAGCCCATTTTATTCACATTTTGAATGAATGGCATTTTGCAGCGATTGAAAAGAAAAGGAAAACGAAGAAATAAAGCGTAAAAAGTGAAAAAATATCTCAATGAAAATGAGCTTAGCTACGACGCTTTTATATTGCCTGTCATCAATTGTGCGGTGTGTTTGTGTTGCCTCTATTCGTCGTAGCTTCAGCTGCTTCTTCTTCTTGACGATTGATTGCATAATATTGTCATCGCACATCGAGCCGCATAATGGCACGTAAATTTACTTTATTAGATTCGATTGTGTTCATGTGAAAAACGTCGTCAACGGCCTATGTGTCTTATGTCTGTGTATAAGACACACCGTATTTGATTTATACCAGCAGCAACAGAAACAAATACCAAAAGATGTGCAATTATATTTTTTCGAGACAATAATAACTCGTCTTTTGCTGTTATTAATGAATGGTTTCGGTCTTGTTGTTGCACTTCGATCACGCTGTTACAGTAACCGTCACGTGAATCGAATATAACCCACACAATGGGAATTTTTCTCTCCCTCTATACAATTGCTTTAGCCCATTTTCGATGCACATCACTTAAGATTTAGATAACACACACCATACATATTATATATATAATAATAATGGAAGTATTTTGTTAACCGTTTAATTAAATAGCTAGTCGATTACGTTTTCTTCTTAAAGTGTTTTCATGTCATTCGTTGTGTTCACTTTCAAACAGCTGAGTATGGTTAGCGGGTGTCTGCAAGTGCATAAAAGGTTTCTTGTGTACGATTGGCCTCTATTCGGTGTGTCTATATTTGAAATCTATGGAGCGAATCGATGCACCCAGTTTCGAATTCGTTTGTATTTATTATTTTTTTTACTCGGAACCAATGCAATCACGACAACAATTTCGTTACGGCCATTTTGGGTGCCTTTGTTTTCGGCACTAGGAAGAATTCCACGTTTCAGCACTTGCAATTGGCTCGCCACTTGCATGATTACTGCAACTGATTTCTTACATGAAATGTTATGTTATTTAATCATCTGTCGGAGTTTTCTTCTCTCATCACTGCTTCACTCTTCTTTTTTTCTTCTTCTTTAATTTTTTTTCCTACATCGTCAATCTATTTTCCGTTTGTCATGCATGCAAGCGCTCACATGCGTCAAAACACGAAGAAATAAACACAAAAAACTTTTACTTTTCAATGCAGCCAGCATCACATACCTAATAATATTATAACAGACATTACTGGTATGTGTTGACTTAAATTTCCATGCGAATTATTCCGTAAACAAAAATCACAATGTGAAAATTATGGATTTTCGTTGTCAAGTCACCTGTTGAAGATTTTTCTCTTGGAACCCAGAGTTGAATAGTTGAACACACTCCACGGTGTTTTTTTTCAATTCAATTTGATGCTAAACGAACGAGAAAAAAAACATGGGCACATTGTTAGGATTTGAAGGGAAAACGGTTACGATCGCATTGTAAATAGATAAAATAATATGCATACAATGAGCAATATATAACACGACACGAATAGAACTTTAGTGCATTTTTGTGTTTTGCCGCACAGCATTTGTTTCCAAGTTAGTTGATAGCATGTCATAAACCACACTTTGGTTTGCGCTTATGCACACACTTCATAAATATACGCGACTCGATAACGAAACAAAAAGAGTGAAAACCCAAAAACCATTAACTTGATATAAAGTTTCGTTTGCTTGTGATTTTTTTTTTCTTTCGTGTCTATTACTACATCGATGACGGAAAATGCTGGCTCCCTCACCATAGATTCGCATTCATTGATAAAAATTATGAAAT